ATAATTACTTCTCCAATTAGTAGAAGAGTTGATAACTATGATTAAATTAAAAGAAAAGACTACCCAATATGAACAGTCATTTACATTGCCTACATGTTAGACTTAGTAAACAAGGACTAAATTTCATACAAGCAGGGGTTATAGTTGAAATCACTGCAAAGCATTGTCTATGAAGGAGTTATCTAGGAGACCTAAAGAGAATACAGGAAACAGAGACATCACCAGTAGAGACTAGTTTAGGTGCTGTCAGGAAAGCTGCAGCAAATCATCAGCAAGTCCAAATCAATGGAAAACAAATATAAAATTCACACTTCAAAACCACTGCTATCTTAGTTCCATCAGGGGACACATCAAATCTCAGTTTCAGCAAAAACGTAAACGTTACACTAAAAATGCAAACCATAGAGAATAGAGTAGAACTTAGATAACCAAAATTCAAAAATTATAAAGATTTATAAATCATTAGAGTTTTAATCTAAAACAGTTATTTTCAAATATAATTTCACTAAAACATTAATTTTGAATCACTATAACTAAAATGCAAAGAGACATAATGGAAATAGTAGACACCATGCAGGCACTGGTGAAAAAATGCTTAAAAATTAAAAAAAATCTGGACATAAAATGCATCAATGCAAAGGAGAAAATCCCAAGGTGGGGTCGAAAGTGCATGGGAGATATGTGATGACTAAATGAAAAGAATGAGAAGGAGCAGCAGTAGAGGCATTTCTCAAGTTGAAATGCAAAAGGAAGGGAACAGAAAACATCATAATATAAAAATATGGGCAATGAATAATGGTATAAAACAAGTTATGCGATGCCCAGAAGAATGACATAACAAGTGAAATTTTGAAATACTGCTTTTTAAATTAAATACTGCTTTAAATTAAATCAATTCAAAACTGTAAGTTTCCAGACTGAAAGAACACTAACCAAGAAAAAGGAAGAGAAAGAGATTTGTTAGATGTGATGACATTTCGTATATGTGTGAGTACACATGGGGATTTCCAGAAACACTACACACACACACACACACACACACACACACACACACACACACACACACACTTCAGGAATTATCTCTTCCCATACAATAAGATATTTTCTAAGATACCAGCTGTTTATTCTTTTTCTGTCTCTGCCTGTCTCTCCTCTCTCTCTCTGTCTCTCTGTCTCTCTCTCTGTCTCTCTCTGTCTCTCTCACTGTCTCTCTCTCTCTCTCTCTCTCTCTCTCTCTCTCTCTCTCTCTCTCCCTCTCCCTCTCTCTTTCTCTCTCTCTCTCTCTCTCTCATGGCCTTGTGCATTCAACGCGCAAATCCAGTCATAATAATTGAATTTATTCCTCCCTGAGCCAACTAAGTTTTCTCGTTTTAATGTGGACTACTTTTAAAAAACATGAGTTTATGAAAAATGGCCCTAAACCTATAATTATCAATTTCTAATTTAAAAGCTAAGAAAGTTGATTTTAAGTTCAGCACATAATTATGTATATTTAAATATTATAACAAAGTATCTTTTAACAAATGCACTATTTTTATATTTGTTAATTGCATGCCTATGGATTTAAAAGAACATTATTTGATAAATGTCAAAATTTGTAAAATACCAAGAATTGTTTTCACAGTCTTGTGATGTTTCATAAATGTTATTAGTTTTTTGAAAACAATTGGCAAGCAGATATAAAGCTCTTTTCCTTGTTAACTCACATTTGAACATTTTGCTAAGTATAACTAATAGTTTCACATTCCAAAAAGTTAAATGCACACCAACACTTTATTATAAAAACTGTAAGTTCCTCATACAGGGCATTTTAAATTATCCTTCAACACAGAAGATGTTTTGGACTCTTTGTTTCAATCCTATGGTTCTTCAATTCAGTATTAATGACAGTTGAATAAATATAATCTTTGTGTTGATTAATCACATCAAATACAATTTGAGGAAGTGTACTTTATAAAACCAATTCTGTCATAATGATATCTATGAAGTACACTTAAAGAATCTCCTGAATCTTTTTAGTTTTCTTTTAATATTGTTTCATTTGAAATAGTTTTTATCTGTATAATCTTAAAAATAAATCTGCTTTCTCAATTAGCAACATTTTCTTTCGATGTAAAACTATTTATAATTTATAATAAATATATTATTTTCTAACTCAATTGTTCCTAAGTCAAATATCCATGGTTTACTTTTCATAAAATCATTTAGGTACTTCCTGGTGATTTTCAAATGATAAATTTTATGTTGTTTAAGTTTTAAACATATTGTTTCTGTAATTATAGTATAAATAAAATTGAGATATTGTCTATTTTTAATTCATTCCATAAAATTTATTTCCAAGACTTAATTTGCATCGAATATATTTTTAATTCATTTCTTCCACATATTGTTCATATTTTTTATTATTAACCTACAACAGAGCACAATCATGCAGCCAAATAGTGAAGTTAAGATACACTGCCAACAGTTCTTGCCTATATTTTTATTCTATTCTTCTGTTTCCTAATTTCTGAAGCAAATTAGTCTAAAAGAGACAAATTGTTTAGACTTGATGAATTATCACCTAAAATATTCATTACAATGATTTATTTATGAGATAGAGAGAGTGGAATAAAGGAAGGGTAAAAAGAGTATACATGTAAGAGAAATGTGGACAAGAGAGAGGCAGAGAACTTAGAATAGATAGAGACAAGAGATGGGAACAGATGAGAAGAGAGGAGAGGAGAGGAGGAGATTGAAAAGAAAGGGAGGAGTGGTAATGGCAATGGTTTACGTGGAGTAACATATCATTTCCTATCAATTTTTAAGTTTTCAATCCATTTGAACACTACAGAAAAACATCAAATAAGGCAAGAAATACAAACATCATGGGAAATATGCTTCCTCCCTTCTTTTCCACTTTTTTCTCCTGCTCTAACTCCCATTACTTCTTTCTATACTCTCGTAGACAACAAGCCAGAGAGGCAAATGTGCTGGTGAGAGAGGATAACTCAGACACTCTGAAACTAATACTGTCGTTGGGACACCTCTACTCCTGGAAATACTGGTTATCCAAATTGGAAAGGATTTCATATCATGGTTTCAGAATAATTCAGTGAACATTTACTGGCTAAGTGATGATGCTGAACTAAATATTTCATATGTATTTTCCATTCTTCCTTTCCCTGCCAAAACTCTAGGCAAGTGGATTTACAATTCCTGCTGGATGAGAATATTCAGATTCACACAAGATATAAACACATTTACTAATGATCACACAACTCTTCAGAAAATTGAGAATTTAGTATGTCCTCAAGTATTTCAAAGTTAGCTAACTTATTATTCATTTAATTGTTCTTAGCTTTGAAAACAGGTTACTTTTACCTAGACTATGCTTCACTTTCACATATATAATGAAAGCTATCATTCTGTATGACTTTGAGACATATTGATATCATATCATAACTGTTTTGCTACAGCAGCTGAGGAATGAAACCATTTCTATCAGATTGTTCAGGACCAGCCTCAAGCAATTTGACAGTTTTGTTTAACTAAGGAATATTTCCGTATCACAAATATTATGGAATACTGTTATCTTCTGAGACTCTATTCTACTGGTCTTTTAAAAATAATCCTCATGGTATTATTGACATATTTTTTGTTGTTTTTGTTTTTGTTTTTTGAGACAGCATTTCTCTGTGGCTTTGGAGGCTGTCCTGGAACTCACTTTGTAGACCAGGCTGGCCTCGAACTCACAGAGATCCGCCTGCCTCTGCCTCCCGAGGGCTGGGCGCCACCAACGCCCAGATCACTGTTACTGTGTTCCTGAGAAAGTTTAGAATGGTAAAAGTCATCATGTCCCAAGAGTTATACAAACAAAAATATTTATGTACTACTTTATTAAGAATTATTAATCAACCAATAGGTATTTACTGGATAAATAATCCGAGTCCAGCACTGAATGGTAACAAATTATGATTATTTCATTTTATAATAAATGAATCATATAAGAAATCTAACTCACAGATATATGTGTTGTCATTTACAGAAAAGAAACTAAGAGTCAGCAGCCAATGTATGCACTGCTTAATGTAATTAGTTATTAAAAAGACTGGCATATTTTAGAACTATTTTGTTTCTGGAAAATAGATCTATAGTTTACTACTGTGATGGTCCCATTAAAAATAGCCTTTAGACTAAAGATAATTCATTACTGCACACATTCATAAATTACTTTCCTATTACTTAGAATATGTTCTATAGATTGGAAAATGGCTATGACCTGGGGATTTCTAAATCAAAGTTTATCTTATACAGTATCCAATAATCTGAATTTAACAGAACAAATACCAAGCTAATACATGTGTACACTAATGTTTGAAAACACTAGCGTCAGTCCCTTTCCCCGGTGTTTACGGCTGTTTACAGGCATTGAAATAAGATTTGAATATCATGAAAAGCAAAGGAATTTTCTTGATATTCTGTGCCAAAGCTGTTGATATTTTGCTGGCTTAAAGGCATCCAAACCTGTTGCTAATGCACATTTATCTGAATAAAACAAACTACCTAGGACAGATTGAGCTCAATTCTAATTATCCATTGTGAACAATGGATGTTAATTAGTCTTATTTTGGAAGAGAGCAGTGCAGGTTTTTTCTTTTATAAGAATTGTTGAATAATTAAGTATGGAGACACTCCAGGTAATCTATTTCTGGGTGTCAGAGAAGAGTGAGAGGTATGTAAAATGCTCAATGATTTTTTCCACCCTTTTATACAAGTGCACAGTCTCTCTGACAGTAAGTGTATTATGTGGGACATGGTATATTCAAGCTATGTCCACAGGCCCAATCACTTTCAGTGTAGTAGACATTTTGTTGTTCTTGTTTAAATTCCAATCAGAAAGTCCCACCATGCCTGGCACTTGAAACCTTTTTAGCATTTTATCCTTAGAGCAATGCTTGAATAACAAAATTTTTCTTTTTTAAATTGAAGCAACCATAAAAAAACCAAAACAACCTTACTTTCCAAGGGCAAAGCATTCCAGTTTTACAGATGAATCCTTTGCAGCTTGTATTGTTTCAGGAAAACGCACTTCAATCTTTGGTTCATATTCCCCCATGACACCTGTTAAATACCAAAAGAGCTAGCAGCATTTCTGGAGAATAGAAGTTTTCTATGAAAGTAAATGCTTCATTAACCAAAATGTGACTCTTGGATTTTAGTCAGAGTTAGGGTTTCCAATCATGAGACGGATTACACACTTTTGAGTTTTACACAAAGCTCTTTCACTAGGGACATCCCCGTCAGTCCTTCCTATGTGCAACTCATGGGTCAGACATACTTGTGTATAAGAAAGGAAGATTCAGTTAACACTATCAGAAGTCTGATACATCACCACAACCAAAAATACCACTATTTCTGCAGCAAAGCCTGCAAAATATCTGCACAAGTGAACTTAAATATCTATATAATATCAGTACAGCAGATTTTACTGCTAAGTTCATAGTACACTTGTAAAAATTTTATTTCTACCATTTTATCATTGTAATAAGTAATTATTAAATTAAGGTTAGAATAAAGCAGTGTTCTAAGATGTCATAAACATAATATCTGCCAGAATAGTTGTAACAAACAAAAATAGTTCTAGGCTATTTTTATCTGAATTAATCAAGCCTATATTGGGTTTATTTTAAAACTTTAATCATTTTATAAAGTGATATGACAAAAATCATAGTAATTTATTCCTACCACTAGTAAATAGACATTTGATGGTCAGTGAGACTCTAGAAAGTACAGAAATTACAACACAAATATAAAATATAAATACCTAATATTCAAACCATTATCCCAATTCAGGTGCTAATTCTGAAACTTAATTGGCTGCTTTTATTTTTGCCTTCTTATTTTCTTAACAACTGGTAGTTCTTCCATGCCAACTTAGAGGAGTTAATTGACTTATATTCTGCACAGTGTTTACAATCTACTCTTACAATTAAATGATGAAGGGAGTGGAGGATGTGGGAGAAGAAAGGAATTAAGAAGGGGGAATAAAAACTAAGTAAACAATGATAAAACAAGAAATATATGTTGTATATTCTCTTTGAAAATTGTCAGCTCATGCACTTCCCCGCTCATGAGCAGAGTACTCACTGGAAGTGAGAAAATGAACTTATAAATCTAATGTTTGCTGATAGCTGAATAAAACCCTTGCAGAAATATTTGAATAGTTACTGGCTCTGAAATCTCTGCCATAAGAACTCTGGGGAGCTGGCTTCATAGTTCTGCTAGCATGATTATCATTACATCCTTGCTTGTCTTAAACTCTTCAGGGGGGACAAAATTCTATGAGGTATTGCCTTTCAAGTTCAAAGTCTGATAATAAAATTAACTAACAGATTTTTATCTTTACATATCCCACTGTGAACATTTAATTAGAGAATCAACTAGAGGATTTTTCCACTTAGTTTACTTTTTAGCTCTCTAAATCTTGCACCAGCTCTGGCTTCACTAAGGTATGGTCCTCTTCTGAGACCAATCTGAGCCCCATTCCTTGGAGACATAATTTAAAATGAATCTTCTACTCCATCATTATTTGGCATGCTTTGCCTTTCTAAGGCACAATATTTTTATTTTTCCATTTTGCCAGCCAGGTAAATAAAGGGCGAATAGCAAGAGCAGCAAAATAATGGCAAGGATAGAAAAGAGAGAGGATAATAAGAGAGGATGCAAGTGTGTTCATCAATTCAAGTATGAAAATTTGGCAACAACCACATGCACACATACACACATGCCAAGTATCCCCAGACAAACATAATTTTTATAAATCAGTCTTTAAGCAATGATTTCCAAAAATAAAATAATGCAGTATACCCAGAAACATGTAATTGTACCATGTGGGTATAGAACTGCAGAATTCTTTTTTAATTTAGTAATAACTCATCTCCATTTTTCTTATAGATTTATTCTAAACTCCAATGGTTAGGTTCCAATTATAAGATGAGAGCAAAACACTCTGAAGACCTCCTACAATGTAAGAGTCCCAATGTGGAATCTGAAGATAACTTATGTTCTTACCATCAGTGCGCTGTACTAAAGGAGTAGGTGGTCCTTGGACACTTCTGTGGGCCTCTTTGTTTGTGACAAAGCAAGTATAATTGCCCACATCAGTGGGTTCTACTTTGGCAATGTACAAGTTCCCTGTGTCTTGAGAAACAAATCGTCTCTTGTCCTCTTGAACATACAGGGGGTTATCATTGAAGGTCCAGGCATATGATAAATCTGAAAGACAGAAAAACATGCAATAACTTTACTACATGTATTAGTCCAATTTATAGCTATTTGTGTGGAGTAAATAGAATATTCCCTATACTTACATATACCTCATCTTGGGGAGAAACAATTTTTCCCTCTCCTTTACTATTTTCTTCGATTAAGAATAAAATGATAGGATATTTAGAGAGTAACGATGATTTTCTTTAGGAAAACTTACAGAGTATAGAAAACACTGCTGCTTAAAAGAGTCAAAGTAATTCCTCCTCAATGCTGCTCATTTCAAAGCAGTTTTTTAAGGGGGGGACAGAGTTTCTCTGTATTGCTGTGTTTTGCTATGTTTTAAAAAGGATTAAGCACATTTAAGAATTGTAGTTAAAAATTTTAACTAAAACCTTCTAAGTTTCAATATTTTGCTCTAGATCTTGAGTTCATCCTATGAATGGAATATAATTTCTGGGCATGTTTCTGTAATAGTTTTTAAGACTTTGGAGTAAAAAAAATGTGTGCCTTACAAAATTCACAGCAGATACTTCTAATAGCCAGGAGTGTAGCTAATCCCAACATGAAACAGCATATGTTTAGATAGGGACATTTTTGGAAACCTGCATGAGATAGTTTTAAATGTTAATTTGCCATGCCAAAGAATCACCTGGGAGAAGTCTCAACTGAGGACTAATTCAGGTAAGATTGGCTTGTTAGCATCACTGTTGGATATCAATTGTTATCTGACAGAGTTCACTGTAGGCAATATCACTCCCTGGGATGGATTTCTAAGACTGGATGAAGTTAACCAAGGACCATCAATCAAGCAGGGATACACAAAGTCTCTCTGTGCTCTTGTCTATCTATGGATGTTGTGTGTGAACTGTCATGTGTTTCTATCTTGACATTGCCTCAGTGATCAACTGTAACCTGTCATCACCTTTTTTCTCTGTGATGACTATCTTTGGTTGTCAAATTGACTACATCTAAAAATAACTAAAACTCCAAAATGGAGTAGCCAAACCCTAAGATATTTGTTTGCTTAACTTGAAGTAGGAAGATCCAATTCTAATCTGGTTCTTTCAGAGGAAAAGATACAACTTTAATCTAGACCTTTTGAGCTGGGAAACCCCACCTCTATTCTGGGCCCCCCCTTCTTTTGGAAGCCTATACAAGGACATGGAAGAAGGACACCTTTGCTCTTTGTCTGCTCTCACCTCCCTAGCAAGCCCATTCCTTCACAGGAATAGAGGTAACTACTTTGGGATTCCAGTGTGTACCAAAACCAGCTGAGACATTTAGCCCCATTGACTGATCATCTCCTGAATTTTAGACTATCTGTATATAGGTAGCCATTGTTGGATTAGATGGACTATAGCCTGTCCAGCATGTAATTCTAATAAATACCTTTTCTATATGCAGAAAGAGATTCACTCTATAATTCTGCTACTGTAGAGAACTCTGACTAATACACTCTCCTATATTGTTTTTTTATTTACCAGTGTATTTTATAACAGCCACAGAAATGACGCTAGAGCACAAGAGAAGTGTGCTCCAATGAAGTGTGCCAGTGGAAGTATTTCAGAGTGCCTCCATATTGACACTATGAAAGAGAACTGTCAAAGCAATGGACAAGTAGATAAAGAACACACAAAAAGCAAAATTAAGTTCAAGGTAAAAGACAGCATGCATTGTATGTATTAATCATCAATCATTTAACACCTCTTTTAAATGTTTTATATGTAAAGGTGAATTACATAAACAAATATTTAATGAATAAAATAAAAAGCACAGACTTTAAGCGTTCAATTTAATGAGAAATATCATATGCATCTTGAAAATACCATCTTAAGCATAAATGTGAACTATTGTCATCTTTTAGAAATAGTCTCTTGCAGCTGGGTGGTGGAGGCACATGCCTTTAATCCCAAGCCCTTGGGAGGCAGAGGCAGGCAGATCTCTGTGATCAGCCTGATCTACAAGAGCTAGTTCCAGGACAGCCTCCAAAACCACGGAGAAACCCTGTCTCGAAAATCCAAAAAATAAAAAATAAAGAAAGAAAAAGAAATGGTCTCCTGCTCTTTGTCATATTTAAACTATGTATATTTCAGTTTATACTTCTTTTATTTAATATTTTAAACATCCACCTATGTTATGATTTTAGCCACATATTTCATTTATTGTTAAGTTGTAATCCATTTTATAAATAAATCACCTTGTTATTGATGAGTTTATGAGGTGTTTACAGTCGAGGGTCATTACAGAGTAGTTAATTGAAAATTATTATGACTGTTTACGTTCATTTTCATATATGTATATATTTGTAAATATAGAAGTGAATTAAAAATGTGTTCCAGTTCCCAACAGTTTAAAAATCTCTATTCTCAACAAAGGAGAGCTCTAGTTGTTCCATATTTACATACACACACACACATACACACACACACACACACACAACCACACAATATACTGTTATATTTTTATTATGGCTATAAGTCTCAGTCTCCACAAGTATTCTTGAAGATTAAAGCTTCATGAATCTATGAAAGTAAGAATACTGTGACAAATGTGTAGAGAACTTTATTCAAGAAAATGGAAAAATATATTTGGTTATAATAAGATTTCCCAATAACAGAAATAAGTCTACAGCACTGGGGTGAGGATAAAAGCCTATAGTTAGGTAAGGAAAAGCAATCTTCCTGTGAATAGATATTCACACAGAAGAAAGTCAGGGTAACCCAAGAGGAGTTCATGTACCCAGTAGCCTCTTGTCCAGAAAGAGGTCTTGCATCATAAGAATGATCTAAATTTGTTTTAAACCCTGATGTAGAATCAAAACACAATATAGTATCTCAGTTTCCCTCAGTTGGAAGAACTTCTGAAACATATTTTAATAACTATACTGTCCTTGAACTCTCAAATATGAGGTGGGTCAGTACAGACAAGTAGTGCTTGCAAATTACATAATATCTGTACAGTGGAAACTCCCAATGAATGGGAATGAAGAAATGCTGCAATTCTGTTGTCTCCTCTGTCAAGATCACTGTGATGGTTAGCATTAGTTGTCAAACTGACACAGTGTAGAATCAATAGGAAGATTGCTTCAATTAGTAATTATCTACACTGTTTTGGGGGAGGGTGGAAATTATCTTAATTAAATTAGTTGGCTGACAAGATTCAGCCCACTGAGGATGGGGCCATTCCCTAGGCAGAATGTGCTGAACTGTGTAACAGTCAAGATGGTAGATTTTACCTCTACCCAACTGAAATAGAAATTCTGTCTCCAAAAATCCTCAGAGGCAAAAGGCTCTCAATTCCTGTATCCTCCTCTTTATATTCCCTTCTCTGCCAGCCATATCCTCCTGTCTCCATTTGCCTAGTGCTGGGGTTAAAGGCACATTATCCCAGGTGCTGAGATCACCTTTGTGCGAGCTATGTCTTTTAGGACTGAATCAATTTCATGTAGTCAGTGTGGTCTGGAACTAACAGAGATTCATCTACCTCTTAATCCTGAGTCCTTGGATTAATGGCCTGTACCTCGTTTCTATGGCTAACTAATATGGCTGCGTTGTTACTTTGATTTCCAGTGACTATAATGAATCATAAACAATATATCACCACAATCTATGCAGAAGGATGTCAAGCATTTTTTCCTCAGGAATAAAGACATGAAGTGAAGCTATGACTAAAAGCAATGAAAGTACCACCTTTGCATGAGGAAGATTTTAGCCTAATAATCTTTTTTTTTTCATTTTTTAAATTTATTTTTAAGTTTAAATTTATATTAGAAACAAGGTTGCTTCACAAGTCAGTTTTAGGTCCCTCTCTGTTTCCCTCCCCTCCTCCTGTACCCTCCCCTAAACTCCCCCAATATCCCCTAATTTCCCCATGGAGGGTGAGGCCCTCCATGGGGGTGTCCACAGTCTGTCATTTCATCCAGCACAGGGCCTAGACCCTCCCCCAAGAGTCCAGGGTGAGAGTGCTTCTCACATTGTTGGATGGGAGTCCAAAATCCATGTGCATACTCGGGATAAATACCGATCTACTGCCCAAGACTCAATAGATTACCTAGGCTTCCTCACTGACATCCCCAGTCAGGGGATCTTGATCAGTCCCATGCTGGATTCCCAGGCATCAGCCCCTGATTCAAGAGTTAACCCTTGTCAGGTCAGCTGTTTCTGGGAGTTAAACCAGCCCAGTCTTAATCCCTTTGGTCATCAGGCCTCCCTTTCTGCTACTGGCTTTCTTGAGTTCAGCTCAGTGCTTAGCTGTGGGAGTCTGCCTCTTCGTCCATCAGCCACTGAATGAAGGTTCTGTTTCCCAGACTCTTTGGCCATGGAATTGTAGGCTCCCCATATCTATGTCTAAAATCCATATATGAGAGAGTACATGCCATGTTTCTCTTTTTGTGACTGGGTTATCTCACTCAGGATGGTTTCTTCTAGTGCCATCCATTTGCCTGCAAATCTCAGGATTCCATTGTTTTTTTTTCTGCTGAATATTACTCCATTGTGTAAATTTTCTCTATCCACTCTTCGGTTGAGGGGCATCTAGGTTGCTTCCAAGTTCTGGCTATTACAAATAATGCTGCTATGAACATAGTGGAACAGACATCCTTGTTGTATGAAAGGGCATATTTTGGATCTATGCCTAAGAGTGGAGTTGCTGGGTCTTGTGGTAGGTTTATTCCCATTTTTCGGAGGAATCTCCATACTGATTTCCAAAGTGGCTGAACAAGTTGGCACTCCCACCAGCAATGGAGGAGTGTTCCCCTTTCACCACATCCTCTCCAGCATAAATTGTCTTTGGTGTTTTGGATTTTTAGCCATTCTGACAGGAGTGACATGGTATCTCAGAGTTGTTTTGATTTGCATTTCCCAGATAGCTAAGGATGTTGAGCACTTTCTCAAGTGTCTCTCAGCCATTTTAGAATCCTCTATTGAAAAATCTCTATTTAGTTCTGCAGCCCACTATGTAATTGGATCCTTTGGTGTTTTGGAGACTTGCTTCTTGAGTTCTTTGTA